TACGTCAGTACATCCTCTCGAAGTAAACAGTACGTCAGTTCGTCTGTAATTAGTACGTCAGTACATCCCCTCGAAGTAAACAGTACGTCAGTTGGTCAGTAATTAGTACGTCAGCACATCCTTTCAAAGTAAACAGTACGTCAGTAATTATTACGTCAGTACATCACCTCAAAGTAAACAGTACGTCAGTCCGTCAGTAATTAGTACTTCAGTTCGTTCCCTCAAAGTAAACTGTACGTCAGTCCGTCAGTAATTAGTACGTCAGTACATCCCCTCAAATACTCTCCATTAACCTCTACACACTTTCTAAGTCTGATTATTCAAATTGTTAATTGACCATTGTATTCACTTTTTGAATCCGCATTGCGGCTTTGAAATTGTCTGCCCAACAGGGAATCAGTGAATCAGCTAAAAAACACATGGAACTGAACAGGATTGTGTGGAGGATGCGGCTATGTTTGAATGTTGCGCTTCAATGGGAGGATTTATGCGTCGGTGTGTTGCGATATAATAAATGGATATCTCGGGTACAAGTGCTCGGATGGGTGGTTCCATATTGTTCGGCAACTTCTGACAACACTTTGGAGACATGCAAATGTTCAGAGACACTAGTAGAGACAAGATCAGGTACGTGGATTCCCCGATTTACGATGTGCTTTTTGCCAAATATCATAATTATTCTTCATCTCCGATACTTGTCCCTCAAAGTTACTAACGTATGTTACATGACACACACACACATATCTAAACGTTTCCCGCTTGCTGCAGGTGACGCTGCATATCATTAAATTGAACGTTGTCTTTTCTGTTTGTCGGCATTAAACTTCTTTACATTTCAAAACTAAATATATAAAAAAATATTCAGAACATTTCAATTACCACTTGTAGATCATAAACAGTAATATTTCCCATCATTTGTAACTATGAATAAATGTGGGAGTACCCCACACCTGTTTCAAGGTCTGGGTCTATTCAACACAATATAAATAAGTTGCCTGATTTCTTCATATGAAGTGCACCTTAACCATCTTGGGGCATTTTGCGCCATACAATAACTACTGTTTTACATGAGGATTTTTACCTGTATGTCCTTTAATTATCAATTCCTTTTTTGTTCTTGAAAAACGAGACAAATATCGAATGGCATCTCATTTCTATGTAAATACGTTATTGCCAACAAATGTAATCATTGCAGATTTCTATACCATTATGGCATCTACTGGAGTCAATTGTCAACCTTCCCGAATTATTTAAAGCCATTTTGACGTATATTGAGTGCACGTGTTGACATACAGTATGACCTACTAGAGATTGTCAGACATTACAGAACATCAGTTTGACTAATAGGTGAATTACTATTTTAACCTGTTTGTGTATGATCCTTTTCTTAAACGAAATATTGTTTTAAAGATGACCATAGTAATTTACAATATTTACATTCGAAAATATTGAAATTTCGGTACAAAGCAGATTTGTTACTAAATTTCTCAAATCAAAATACATTTAGAACCAATATACAACCAGTCAAGCTTCACTGATACAAGGCTTATAAGAAGAAAGCAATCAATCGATCATCAGAATTAGACCTTTCGATCAATTAACACATCTGCATCTATCCATATACCTGTCTGTCTGTTGACAGATACAGAAATAAAAAAATATCCATTTATCCATGCATCCATCATCTTTCATCTTTCATAGTCACTATTGATAATTACAAGTCTTTGATTGATGTCTTGATCTAACATGCTTTTATTATTATGAAATGGATAACTAATACGCATAGATCAATTAGTTTAATCTTCCAAGTGAAGTTGTTTCTCTATGTCTCATAATTGCAATAAACTGACAAAGGAGGTCTCAGGCCTACAATTTTATTTGTTATACTCCTCATAAGAGTGTAATGGTGTATCTGATTTTGTGTCTCAATACCTAAGTTTATTAAACAAAGTTAAGCAACGCGCAGCAGATGATTCAGAGGAATTTAAACTAAAATAAATAAAATAGAATAAAATAAGATAAATTTAAGAAAACACATTATGAATGATAACTGTTTTGTGGTAAGTGCACGACTGATATACCGAAATTAGAGAAAATAAGAGCTCGAAAAAACAAGGAATTTAAGTTTTCATAGCTTAGACAATACTCAGATAATGTTAATGTTTCCCACAGCCATGTTGATTGAGCAAACCAATGGGATGCGTCCGTGGAATGTGCGTCAAATGGAATGTCTCTGCCCACCCTTTTGCTGACGTACTTTGATACAAGGCTCTCTGTTCCTACTTCAATGCAAGAAGTCAATAAATAGTACATATGTTTTCATTTGACTCCACCCTAAATAACAAAACAAAACAAGAGAAGCAATATATGTCCTTATTGTCCGACCTTGATGTAAAGACTTTTGATATTGGTAAATTTACAGTCAGGCGAGAGTTATAATTATGTCGACCTGTATTGTATTGAACAGTGTTCGAACTATCTACATGACAGGCTCTTGACCTAATCGTTTTGGAAACATGTGCTCCTTGATTTTCAAGTGTTTGCATTTTATACTCTGTCTATAATTTTCACTCCCACTTAAACGCAATAGAAGAGAATTTATATTATTCCCTATATAAATTGGTACATATCAAATACCATTTTCCTTTCAAGACAAAATATTTTAAATATCTTCTCTTTGTATGGTTCGCTCACAATTCCATTATTACGGTGACACAGCAAAATTAGAATTTGCAATGAAAAATAAATAAATTGCTTACGTATAGATTGCAGAATAAAATTTTTCAACATCTAAATATTTAAACAGAGAGTTGTAATACAATTTCAGATGTACCAAATGAACTAGGGCAAAGATCAATATGATTTATGTATCAGATATCTTGTATTACAAGCGTTTGTAATCGATGGCTTACATATCGTTTGAGATAAACGTAACCATCGCTACACATAAAGGTAACCATCGAAATAAATACATTATAGATAAACTTAACCATCGATATAAATAAAATCAACCATCAATATATATATATATATATATATATATATATATATATATATATATATATATATATATATATATATATATATATATATATATATATATATATATATATATATACATATATACGTAACCATCGGTATAGGTAAACGTAACAATCAATATAGATAAATTTAACAATCCATAGAAACAAACTTAACCATGGATAGAAATAAGCCTATTTATTTATATTACATCTAAAAGATATAAAGTTTCTATAGACGAGTAAGCCAACATTTGCTAAAATGCATTTATTGTTGGCCAAACACGGTAACTAAAGTTACGTCAACGATGATCACACAGCCATTTAAAAAAGTAGAACATAAGTGATTATCAAGTCATATCATAATTTCTTAATTTAAACTACCATTCCAAACTTGCATGCATCTAAGAGTAACGAGTGCACGTCCGAATTATTCCAATTATAAAGAACACGTAGTTATCAGTCTGCTTGTTCGCTTTCTTCTGAAAACATGTCTTGAATTTTATGGAATTTATTTTAAAAATCGTAATGACATGCCAAGAGTACGTTAAAATAATGGCATTATTATCTTAACTTTTTAGCCATAATGATTGTTTCAGTATCTGCGAAAGGTGTTTCTTGTTTAACTGGTAAACTAAAATGCAAATACAAACATACCAGCCGCATATAGACCCAGATCTGCCATCGCATTAGGCGCATTAGAAAATATGCACGTGTTCTACTGATTATACTTAAGAAACTTCATAAACTCAGATCTGCCAATACATTATGTGACGGCAAATCCGTGTCTATGCTGTTGAAATATGTACCTATGCTATAGAGCATGCAGAGTGTATTTTTGGAAATACACAGCATCATATTAAAGGTTGCAAATGAAATCCATAGAACATGAGAAAATCGTAAAGAACCACGCATTCGAAGGAACAAAATACTGACATTGTTCTGATAATTATTCTTTATATATAACGTTCATGTCTGAATTCAATGACAGTTCTACCAGCACGTACACTACTATGTTTAATTATCCTTTAGTGCATCTGTACGGACATAATACTTCTATCAGTCACCCTCGAAATAAGTACACTCAGGAACTCGGTACATTCTGGAATTATGTACATTTTAGGTGGATAGGATTCTGCCAGAAAAGACACCATAGATTTCAGCAGGAAATAATATCCATGTTTTGCTCATTGCTAAGAGATTTGACCATAGTCAAACAAAACATGTCGAAGATTATATTTAGCAATTTTAATTCTTATTATATATCTCACCTTTTGTAATTTCAAGCGAGGAAACTCTTTCCAACAAGACAATGCCCAATCAATCTATGTAATTTAAAATAATTCGGATTCGCATTCAGTCAATTCGGTTTCATTTTTTAAAGCTTATAAGTCATATAACAACACGCCAGAAAATTACAAATGTAAAGTTCATAGTATTTTCTAAACTTATATCACTATATATTACTGTATATTAGTGAATAATATTGCTTTATATATACGACATCTATATATCAAATGTAGGTCACTATGGGTCATCCTTAAGTGTTTAAACGCAAGGATGTTTAATATGATATGGTTTGGGTATATTAATGTGGGTTCAGAAAGTTTCCTAATTATAATTATTAGTGCATTATCCACCCCTACCCCCTACTCCCGATGAAGATATTAACGGTCTAATGGCATTACTGATAATTTTGCAATAATTTGCAAATGATTTTCTTAGCTTGAAATAGTTTATACCAGTACCAAAGTAATTGAACCTAGACGTATTATTGGACTGTGTATCAGTAGACCTCACAAGTATCTAAGCCAAGGACAATGTGACAAACAACAGTTTTTAAGGAATGATAATATGGCATTCAATATTATCTAATCCAGTTACAATATGACAAGCAATATTATCTAAACCAATGAGCATATGACAAGCAATTGTATCAAACTAATGACCATATGGCAAACAATAGTATCTAAACCAACCGCTTTGGTGGCCTAGTGGTTAGAGTATCCGCCACGGATGCGGGAAGTCGTGGGTTCGAACTCTGGCCGAGTCATACCAAAGACTTTAAAAAATGGTGCTATCAGCTGCTTCGCTTTGCATTAAGAGGTTAAACGTTAGGATAATGTGACTGGGTGGGACATCATGCCACATGTCTGCGGCATGATGCATGATTACCCAGTGCTAGACATTACTATAAACTGTCACATTGCAGACATCGTAGCGATATGACTGAAAGATTGTTAAAGCTACGTTAAAAAATCTAAATCACAAACACGCACACAGTATCTAAACCAAGGACCATATGACAATCAATAGCATCTAAACCAATGACAAGATGACACGCAATAGTATCTAAACTAATGCGCAAATGACAAGCAATAACATCTACAAAAATGACAAGAAGACACACAAAAAGAAGTTGCAATCTCTTCTTAGTGTGCTAATTTTATCGTATGAAATGAAAAATGGATATATGTGTTGATAACCATTTATCAACCTGAATGGCTTGCCCTGATGGACTTCTATATTTACGTGTGGGACATTTTTTAATATAAAAGAATTCATTCTAGAAGGAAATAAAACTTAACATTAACGTTTTAAGAGGTTGAATGATGAAAATAAAGTTGATGAAACAGAACAACTGCAATTATATCTGATGAATTAAGACTAATTTTGGATTGTAAGACAGATAAATGGAGTATTGTCAGAGAGAGAGAGAGAGAGAGAGAGAGAGAGAGAGAGAGAGAGAGAGAGAGAGAGAGAGAGAGAGAGAGAGAGAGAGAGAGAGAGAGAGAGAGAGAGATGTCAAACACGTTTATAAAAAAAGACTAAGTGCACAGGAAGGACGGGCGTCACGCCATTATGGTCTTAGACTTAGAAGCAAAAAGAACCAAAACCAGCAAGTTTTGTAAAACTTAAAATATATTAATTCTCCTGGTAGTAAAAATTGACGAAGTGGAGAATGTGCTTCCTACACAGCTAGACACAGGTAGTGTGCACAACAGATGTACAATACAATAAAAATATAGAAAATTAAAGTAGAACGAGATAAATAAAACACAAAGCATTTGCATTATAAAAAGAAAACTTATTATCCTGGATAAAATGTCGTAAATCAATATTTCATCTGAGACAGTTCATTACCCTCTTTAAAATAAGGCTTTATGAATACCGTCTCCATGCAGCGACAATTATTTTTTGACTTTCCAAGTCATTGTAATTTCCTGCAGGTGAAAAAGATCCAATCTGAACTTAATCGAAATTGCAAAAATATCTTGCAAACTGTCACTTCAAACTAGGAATCACGATAGATTGACTTTTTGCATACGGTCAGCTTCTATTTATATCTCTATTGGACACTTACACTTATAAGCCAGTTATATTTTACAATCGGATTCTCATTAATCATCCATATAATCGTTGATCGTGTCATCAGACGGTTGAACTAAACGTGACCGTTACTTTTCCAATATGTCCACAAGGACGGCTGAATGATGATGAGAAATGTGGGTTAATCTTAACTGGACTTTGACTACGAATGTTGTTTCTTGTTTTTGTCCCAGCCATATAATATATGGTTTGATTATCTTAATGATGTGGCGTGACTGAAACATTTTCTCAGTATGTCTCAATGCAAGAATTTTACATACACCGTAAATTGACAAAAAAGATAGCTAAATCAGTTCATATAGATGATAGGCAGACTGTACATTCAATATTTTCATTTTCTGCTCAAATGCAACATACGTAATTTGATTCTGTCATTTCTATTAACTTACTTGAGGAATATAGTGTGTCGAACATGTATCAAACATTGTTTGATTCAAGCGTATCAGAAGCTTGTTCTAAGATTTATAAGACTTTTTTTGAACTTTGCATTAAAAAGTCCATCACATGAAATTAGTTGTAGGATAGACTTTGCACATTTAACGAAATTAAATGAAATGCACTATGTCAGAAATCTTTTGTTGAATAAAAGTTTGTTTAATAATCGTTATCACTAAACTTAGGGTAGTAATATAGCTTCAAAGAAATTCGACAAAGCTCGGCAATATTCAAACATGCTTTGAAGAGATTTTAATAAACAGGCACATACATAGTTGGTTTATGTATGTAGGTTATATAGGGGCTTGATTGATATAGGAATAAATATTGTCAACGAAACTCTGAACAACGAAACTCTGGCAATCTTAGTTGTAGCATGAACTTTATGCAGTTTGGAAAAAAAGTGATTCAAATTTATTAATGAATTTGTAGCTAAACATTGATTGAAATTCTTTCATCATAATGAACAAATATCGGATGTTAGGTACATAGGTTCTTTTTGTTTTGTCACTACTCTTACTAAAATTTAACCTTTGCACGAAACTTACAGCACACAATTTTCAGATTTTAATAATTTTAATAGTATTATTTTGATCAAATTTAAACTCAGCTGCTCAACTTTTCCCAGTTTTCTAGTAAACCCCCGACTGACAGACACACAAAGGCTTCAGTTCTATGGCTAGGTAATGAATTCTACCGCTGTATACGTTTTTATGTCAGATAAGCTTCGATTTCATGGCTAGATAATGAATTGTACCACTGTATAAGTTTGTATAAAGATGAGCAATTAGTTACAATTAAAAGACTCCACCTCAGAATATTTTTTGACCAACCCCCGGCCATCCCAACTCCCCAACCAACAAGAAAAGAAAAACACAATCAAAAGCCATAAAACCCCCAAAACAAACAAAACAAAAAAAAAACCAATATGTTAGATATATCTCCATGACTGTACGTTGATCTTGTGACTTTTCCGATTTACTTATCAATAAAATTTGACTTTCTATTGCTAATCATAATAAGTGAAGTATTGCTAGTTATCTATAAATATACCATTTTAACTGGGTTCGCATGTCATCATGGAAAAACTCCAATGGGCAGATTGAAAGCATAAGAAAATGTTATTTTATACAATATTTTCTGATATTTCTTGGTAGATAAAATAGACTATATATGATCGAAAAGAGTGACTTAAAAAAAACTTTCTCCATGTCGCTAATACATAGTTTAATCATTCATAAATTTTTATTTTTTAAAAAAAAATATTTATATTTTGAAAAATTGTGTCACTTTTTAACTATATAAATGCTGAATATTTCATTTTGGGGTGTAGGGTTACTTCTTCACGTCAAGATAAAATAATAGTACAACAATTTTACACTTACACACATGAACATTAAAATAATGTTGCTTCTGCTGTACGATTGCATCTTACAGCAGTTTTACCTTTCATTTTACAGCCGTATTGCATGAGTTTGATAAGTGAATTAGTCCATGTAAAACATGATCATGAGTGTGATAAGTGAATTATTCAATGTAAAACATGATCATGCATTTTATAGTAGTTTGTATATACTGAATGAGCTATTGTGTATAAGGATAGAAAGTTCTGTCTCAGTAGTCTTCAAAAAGGCGTGTTCATTATAGTAATATGTAGTACAGTGCACGAAAATTAACTGATCTCATTAACCGAATGATGGTTCATATTTAACTATTTTATGTTTACCTTAAACCCATATATATATATATATATATATATATATATATATATATATATATATATATATATATATATATATATATATATATATATATATATATATATATATATATAATTTTAAAGGCATCTGTTAAGGATGATTTGTTTCTTTCTGTTTATCTGGTATAAGTAATTGTTCCTTTAAATTGAAAAAATAAAAACGTTTTTCATGGTCAATCAATACAAGGTAACGAACAAAAAACAAACACTCAGTGTATCTCTTGGAAAGATTCCCCATTTTTTGGAAAAAAAGAAGATTAAAGCAATTCATGGTCAACAATGGGGATTTACACCGGGAATAAATTTTATAGCACAGAGATCAATAGCGTTTTATTCAGCAATGTTGTATCAGTTTGGTCCAAAAGGGCGTATGATTTAAATTACCAACATATTCACCTTTCTACAAGTACTTACTTTCCGATATTTTCTCAGTGTAAAATTTACTTTGTTAACAGACATTTGATTTCTTCATGGTCATTTCTAAGGGTTAAACTCATTCCTTTGAGCTAGATATAAGAATATACAAAAAACAGTAAATAAAATTATCAGGCATGCCTTTGGCAAAAAATTGGATGAGATATGGCAAACACTCACATTATGACAGCTGCATATGAAAGACCTTAATCTGTATGTGGATATATCATTCAAACAGGAACTGCCTGTAATGTCTAGACAAAGGCATATCTGTACTCAAAATCAACTATTGTGCATCATTTTCTTTTAGGTTTCTAGCGATAGAGAACATATTATTGTCTACGTTTTCTTTAAACCGATAGATGGCCGAAAAACATAATTATTTAAATAGATATCTTCAGAAGAGAAGAGCTCCATCAGAATGAAAGACCTACACTGCTATTGGAGCACGACGCCGTCATGCATCGAATGATGTGCAATGGACAGAAAAAAATGTTGCTTGACGAGTTGTTGTCACTATTTGTACAATTATTTCTGGCAAGAAATGTGATATTCCGAAATATTTCTAAACCAATAAGCTAAATATAATTCCAGCTTTTTATTTTAATTTTTCGGTTCAGTTTCCAATAGAACGGATGTTTCTTTATATAGATATTAAAATGTGTCAATTAGAATGTATCTCTTTTCAATCAATGTCAGCATATTGCAGTGTCGGCATCATGATGTACATACTTGACATTCTTAGTCAGCTATTGTTGTCTATGTTGAACACACACACACACACACACACACACACACCTCTATTCCAACGGCACATAAACTACCTTGACCAATGACTTTGTAAATTGGTACATTACAGGTGTTGTATTAATGGTGTGAGCACTCTCTCTCTCTCATACGTTATGCAATGTTGATCATATTGCATGTACATGATATTTAATTTTTTGGTTGAGTTGGTTAAGAGTATAAATTGTTTAAAAAATCTCTTTCACACACACACATACACACACACGCACGCACGCACACGTACGCACACACACACACAAATACACCAC